ATATATATATATATATATATATATATATATATATATATATATAATGTTTATAGTACAAAAACTAGTTCGTCACATCATAGCATTAATGACATTCAAGTCAAGTATTAATGAGCATTAAATGCTCTTAAAAAGGTGTCACTAAAAGTGACATTTTTTAACACCATTAGCGAAAGTGACAAATTTTTTATATTTTTCAAATTTAATGACATTAATGAAAAGTCCCTTTGATGTTATCCCTTCCTTCCCTGTGGATTACATCCCAATTCTTTGTTTATTAAGAGTTGTGACAATATACTCTACATCTAGTTGCTTAATTTCAACACATTGCATATAAATTTGAAATATGTCTTAAATTCAGTCTCACCTACAAATATCGAAAACCCATTTTCGATGTAACTAACGTTGTCTGTTAGCCAAAAGAAATTGAAAAATTTGGTGGTAATAAGTTCCCTGCATTAAATTTTGTTGAAAAGTACATCAGGGTTTAGTGGAGAATAGCTGTATATAATCCATTTTCAATGTAACTAACGTTGTCTGTTAACGAAAAGAAACTGAATAATTTGGTGGTAATAAGTTCCCTGCATTGAATTCTGTTGAAAAGTACATCAGGATTTGGTGGAGTATAGTTGTATATAATCCCAGTAGGCATATTCTCAAGTTGAATCAAAAGAAAGGCAAGAACTAGCAGCAATGGTGGTTAAAGTGTATGGACCTGAATATGCTTCAAGTAAGCGTGTAATTGTTACCCTTATTGAGAAAGAGATTGAATTTGAGGTTGTTGATGTCGATGCCTTTAAGGGCGAAAACAAAAGCCTGGATTATCTCAAGTTGCAGGTATTCTTCTATTATTATTTTTTTTACTTTCTTCCCTATAAAAATTGATAGGATTTACTCTTATCATCTTGCAAATTCTTGTAGCCTTTTGGGCTTCTTCCTGCCATCCAAGATGGAGACTACACTTTATTCGGTAAAAGTCTAATGCTACTTTTGTTTGATATTCTCCACTGGACATGACAGAATTAAAGTAGAAAAGTAAGTTAAAATCTAGACTATTACATATTTGTGCAGAATCCAGGGCAATAATCAGGTACTATGCAGAAAAGTACAAGTCTCGAGGAACTGAGCTATTTGGAAAGTGTTACCTCCTCTTTCCGTTTCATCAACAATGGTTAGAAGTGGAAGCACACAATTTTAACCCTCCACTTAACACTTTAGTGATTCATACAATTTTCAGCTCCAAACTAGGAATCACACCAGATCAAAAAGTCATTCAAGAGAATGAGGTGAAACTGGGAAAAGTTCTGGATATCTATGAAGAAAGGTTGTCGACGAACAAATACCTGGCTGGAGATTTCTTCAGTCTGGCTGATCTTAGCCACCTCCAACTTGGTCATTACTTGCTGAATGGTGCTGGGAAAGAGTACATGATAAGGGACAGAAAACATGTGAGTGCATGGTGGGATGTTATCAGTAATAGGCCATCTTGGAAGAAAGTTCTTCAACTCTTTCCTTATCTAAATTGAGTTGCATCAGTATGTGTTAAACTTGTGTGCTTCTGAGAATAAAAAATTCAGTGTTTCACCGACTTGTATCGATGTTCATGTTTGTCGAAATATGTTGTGGTTCTATTTGAGTGTTTTGTTTATGGGTTTGCTTGTGTACTTGTTTATGTGCTATTGAACTCTATAATATGATAACCAAAGTAGTTCCCAACTTCTTGATGATTGCAGTGTTCATTTCATTTCCTTGGCTACATTTCAAGTTTTGAAAAATTTGATGGATGTAAATTTAGTCAATGCTAGAATATAAAATCAAAGGTGAGGTCAGTGAATTGCAAAACAAAATTTCTAGTGAGTCAATGAATTGAACCTTTTTTTCCATTTCCAATTAGGCCAATAAACTTAATATTTGTCATAATTGGATCACTCAATCCAAGTCCATAAATTTGATTAAGGTAGAGGAAATTCCTTCAATTTATAAGAAGGAATATCATGTTTCCCAGCAAGTACCATTTTCAAATACAAGAAGGATGAGCATGAAGCTAACTCTCAAAAGACAGGACTTGTGGGGACGAGAAAGAGGGAACATCGTGTTTTGCTTCTTATCTATGATGCGACAATTCAAGTGTCACAATTTGCTGAAATAAATTAAAGTTTATAAGTTATTCCCCTTGTATGCAAGAATAATTATTTTTTTTTCTTTGCCATCTTCCAATGTAAAAATGCCAAGTGTCCCTTGGCAGTTCCCTGACAGTGTTTTCCTGTACACATAGCACGGCTCAAAGTTCATTACCCAATTATTTTTTTCCTAAAGGGAGAGGACAACATAGAGTTACCAACTTCCTCAGAGTGACTTTCTCATCTCCTAGCCATACCATGAACATACTACCATCTATTGCAAAGAAACAAATATGTCACCATTCACCATACTTCATGTGCTATTTGGTTAAGTTTGTCATAAACAACTATTCAAATAAACAAAGAATAAAGCTATCTTTACAAATAGCGTTACAGATGCACAAGTGACATGCATTTGTTGACCAGTTTAAATACATCCGTTAAGCTACATGTATAGTTTGTCTGTACAAATAGCATAGTCCTAAAACAAATAACCTATTGATCAGTCGTTCACATGAGCTTGAGTATCCAAGCAAAGATTCTTTTGAGAAGCTTATAGATGAGAGTTAAATCCACGTTTAGCTATTATTTTCAAGTCCGTAATAGTATGAAAATAAGGCTTGACTCCAAATTGTTCAAGAATAATGACATTGAGTTCTTAACCCATTTGACTTATGATTGGTCAAGTTTATTTCTTGATCGGGGCAAAAGGGGATATGGGGTATTTTACACCCATTGCAAGGAGGACATGGGCATATTACACAACAATTTTTTTTTTATTATAGGATAATACTTTATAGCTGAACATTCTTCAAGAGTATTTTTTCCAATTTACATTACAAAATTTAGATATAATAACTTATCACAAGATATTAAGCTAGTAAAAGCACTAAAGCTATATTAAGACATACAAAGCCATTAGGGGTTTCATTTTTCTGCAACATTATGATAACTGAATCATTTCTTTCAGACATTGGATAGGGATGCAAACGTTGAAGAAACCAAATAGAAGTCAAGTAATTGCAATGAAGAACAATTAACATGAGCGTTGACTATGTTATTGAAGATCAAATATGATACAGTAACATGCAAAGAAGTCTTTGATTCAAGTCTCTCCAGCACCTATTTATGAAAATTATGCAAATGTTGAAAAAAGAACCCAATCTATCATATTTTAATTGTTCTAGATGTTTAGTCATTCAAATCAATTTTATCCGATATTGAATTGCCACAATGATAAATAAAACAATAAATAACATAAGATTTGTGACAGAAAAACCGTTAATTGGGTAAAAATTCTAGAACCAAGCGAATAGCATCCACTGTAGACAATAAAGAATTTACAGTATGATCCAGCCTAGAAAATCTACTAGACTCGCTAATCTAAATCTTGCAATCTCCAAAACCCGCTGGAACGTGCTTCACTTACACCTACTCATGATCTTCTGGAATTGTCTCTCTCCTATAGATCACCAGAACACCTTGTTCTTATACTCTTCTTGTACTTTTGGTCCAACCTGCCTCAATTTTCAACATGTAAAAGCTATTGAAAAAGTACATTCTTGTTATATCTAGGAAGTGGGTGTTTTGAATTATTTGATTTTGATATTTTTCTCAACTTGTGGTTGATTGATTTCAAGAATCAAATGTTTAATCTCAATATTTGGATATATTCTAGATATTTGAATGATGTTATGAGGATGTATTGTAATGCAGGGGCGGAGCTTGGATTTTTTTATCAAGGTGGGCACAATTTATCGATGTTGAACGTCGAGTTTTTATTATGGATCTAATGATATAAGAATATAAAACAATATTACGACAATACTAAAATGACATAGTTTATAAATTACACTTGTTCCTTTCGAGTTTTCATACTTTGATATCGTTGTACAATAACTTCATTATCGAGCTTCAAAAATATATCTTTCTCTGCATAAATAATTGTGCTATCATTCATCCACTGATCACCCATCTGATTACGCAATCTATCATTTACAATGCTCATTGCAGAAATACTCTTTCCATAGTAGCGGTAGCAATCGGCAAAGTCAATGCTAAAGTCAAAAGCTTGTAAACTAATGGATATACCATATTTTTCTTTGTCAGAACTAACTTTTTTGCAAGATCACCACCCTTCAAACTCTTTGTTAGAGCGCATGTCAAAATATAAGTCCCAAATTGATCATGAAGTACAACAAGATCTAATACAGAGAAATCTAATAGATAAAACTCAATAAGTCGAATTAAACTTTTCTTGTCAAAAGAAGAAAATGAATCTCATGGACATATACAAGCAACACACATGAGTAAATCTGTATTTACCTCCAAGAAACGATCATTCAATTCTTGAAGTTGAAGATCGATGACAGAATAGAACAAATCAACCTGATAATGATGTAAATTTGTAAGTTCTGGAGGATTACATTGTGGACGACCACGAAGTGCATGACGTACAAACATATCATCCATGCCGAGTACATCAATATAATGTTGTTGACAGAAAGAACATACTTCTTCCCAGAATGAGTCACACCCTTCATCTCTCATTATTTGTAGTCATTGTTTGCATAACTTCACCAATTGCATTGCATTCACAATATCTTGATCTTTCCATTGTAATACTTTTGACAGTTCATTTGAAATCCCTAAGACACTTCTCATCAACTGTAAATTAAATGCAAAATCAAATGTCTGTATCGACTCCAATAAATTTGTCCCGTCAGATCTTTGGTCACAAGAACAAAAGTCATCTTCAACAATCATTGCAAGTACATCAATAACAAAAGAGAACATGACAAGTAAGCTAACCAATAAATTATAATATGAACCCCATCGCGTATCACCAGAACGTTGAAGGGTTGTTTCTTGATTAAGTCTCCATCCACTTAAAATTTCACCATTCTCCAATGCATCAACAATAAATTCTGATTGCTTTTCTCGAAGAAGATCACAACGTTTAGAAGATGTTCCAACAGTATTTACCACATCACTGACTACGCGAAAGAAGTTAGTAATAGGAATATTCTTCTTCGCAACAGGTACAAGAGCTAGTTGGAGTTGATGAGCAAAACAGTGAATGTAAAAAGGCACATGGATTCTCCTTTAAAATGAGTGCTTTTAGACCATTAAATTTACCTTACATATTACTTGCTCCATCATAACCTTATCCTCTCAATCTAGACATACTCAAGTTATATCTAGAAAATACCTTATCAATTGCAGCTTTCAGTGATAGAGTCGTGGTACTTGTTACATGTTCAATCCTTATGAAGCGTTCATTCACATGTCTACTATTTATCTAAATAACGTTTACATTTGACATTTGCTCCTTCATTGACACATCACAAGATTCATCAACTAGAATATAAAATAATGAATCGCCAATATCTTTGATAATAACATTGATTGTCTCAACGGCACAAGCATTTACGATATCCTTTTGAATATCGGTGATGTCAATTTACAATTTTGAGGAGCATTTCCAAATGTCACAGCATTAATATCTTTATTATGAGCAGCCAAAAATTCTAACAGAGCTAAGAAATTGCCTGGATTGAGAAAATCATTGGACTCATCATGTCCCCGAAATGAGTGCCCTTGTCGCAATAGAAGTCAAACACAATCAATAGATGCATTAAGACGAGTAACATATGCACTTCGTACTTGTTATGACTGCTTGTAAAAAATTGATTGAATGTGTTGGTCTTGATTTGTCAAAGGTTCACACTTAATGCGATCTTGATTATGTGCACTATCGTGTTCTCCAACATGAATATGAAGCTTTTTCTTCTTTTTCCAATATGTAAAACCTTTAACAACAAAACACTCATCTCCACCTTGCTATCCAGAACTTGATTTGAAAAGATAACAATACAAACAATAAGCAGCATATTTTTCTACGCTATACTCCAACTAAGAACCAAATTCTTTAAACCAAGAAAGATTGAATCATCTAGCTTTTACTCCAAATTGTCGTTTTGGAAAGTCATGATCTTGTGGTTGACAAGGACCCTTTATCCAAATTGTCGTTTTGGAAAGTCATGATCATGTGGCTGACAAGGACCCATTAACATATATGCTCTTCGAACTTGATCTCGGATGTTAGCATTGTAATCTAAAATGGGTATCCTTAGACCAGGATTAGTTGGAAGTTTAGTGACATCAAATTCTACATTATTTGACATCCTCGGGATCCCCCCATCAACATTTACATTGTCCAAGTCAGTTTTTCTTTGAAAGAATCTCTTCATAAGATTTCAGTTTTCAACAATACTTAAATTTCAACAATTTCAATTCAACAATATCCAAATTTCAACAATTTCAACTCAACAATACCCAAATTTCAACAATTCCCAAATTTCAGCAATTTCAATTCAATAATACCCAAATTTCAGCAACTTGCC